TAGGATACTCTTTTATATCTTCTCAATTTGATATAATTCTTAATATTGATGTAAGGAAAGAAGTAACAGAGATGTTTCAACAGACAGTAAAATTGTCATCCCCAGGCTCTCTCACCCAGTGGCCCAGGGAGGCTCAGAGAGAGGCTGAGCAGGTGCCAGAGCAGGGGCAACCAGTGCAAGAAAGGGCAGTACTGCCCTGTCATCCTATGCTATGATGCTCTGCAGTCTGTTCTGGGAGATTTTGAGGGCCTGCCCTGTCATTCTCCTGTGCCCCCATTCAGGTGGCCGGGGACCAGGTTCCATGACTGCTCTCTCACTTTCTCTTTCTCTTGAATACACATGGCTTTAGCAAGTTAAATGAATGGTATGAGTAATAATAATAATAGTAATAATAATAATAATAATAGTAATAATAATAATAATAAAAAAATAATTCTTTGAAAAATTTATTAGTCATATAATCCAAGATCTGGATTTCGGTAAGTGTTCATTTCTGGAAATTTATTTTGGTTCTCTGACTGGGCCGTGTTTTCTGGTTTCTCTGTAGGGCTTACAATTTTTTGGTTAATATGTGGGCATTGGAAAAAGATGCCATCTTTCCCAGTCTCTGTACTCTGTCTTTGAAAAAGCCAGACTGGAAGACCCAGAAACCTCTCAAACCTACTGTGTGATCTCTTTCTTGCTCCCTGTGCAGTCTGAAGAAGTGCAGTTTCAACATGCTCTGTTGCTACCGTTGTTTTCTGCAGCTTTCAAACTATATCACCCATTTTATCAGTACTTCCAGCCAGGAAGACAGTAACTTTTCTCTTGGACAATGCCCAGACAAACCAGAATGTTTAAGACACTGTCTACTCTTGTTTTCAACAGGAAGGAGAAGTGTTGTTATGGGAAATATCCTCCTGCATGCACCATACTATGCCATTAACTGATTGTCTCTCTGTAGGATGGAAGGCCTGTGATGACCTTATCAACCATCTTGTTTACTTCCCTCTCCACCTCATTCTTTCAATCATTTCCTGGGTTTGTCTTAGAAAAAAATAATTAGTTGCATAATATCTAGGAAATAACTGAGATGTCAGGAAATGACAGACAGTTGTTGGGTAAATAATGCATCTTTTTTTTTTTTTTTTTGTATGCACTCAGCAGAATGAGGGAGAGAAAGAAAATATCACCAGGTAAGGGGTGATACTGTAGTCCTTACTCCTCCATTTCTCTACCTGTTGCGTTTTTAAAAGCATACATACACACATGTGTGTATGTGTGGATTCAGCATGTATTTCCAGCCACTGGGATTGGTATTTGAACCATGTCAGTCAGGGGACATCTGGTTCTCTTAACTGCTAGGTTATGAGGCTGGACTTCCATTTTAAAAATTGATATAATGATATTACCTCTGAATATCATTCATAGTCTAGCTTAAAAACAAAGTAGATAAGGCTAGCCCTGGGTCATTGTGGCTGAAGTAAGCTTGACCACATATGGTTGACTAAGGTTCAAATCCTAGCCCTGAAGGCTTGTGCATGTGTGTATATGCTCCAAATCCCAACAAGATGGACAAATGGAAGAGCAGGAGTTGTGTGCGGGCAGAATGGGGCCTAATTTTTCCTGTCTCTCTCTGTGGTGAACATATACACTCTTTGTCTACTTATAAAAATAAAAAATAAAAAATAAAAAAACTGTGACCAGCAGTTAGTGTAATGGCTATGTCACTAGACTTCCATGTAGTCGACTGCGGTTCGAGTCCCGGACCCAGTGGCTTAAACTCACAGAGGAGAATGGAGGAGATGGGATTGCGGTGTGGTCATCCCTCCTGGGGGTGGGGGGTGGTTTCTCACTTTCTGTCTCTCTGTCTCTGTCTTTCTGGAGAGTGTACGCACCCTATAGCAAAAACCTCTCAAAACAAACAAACAAACAAATAAACAAACAAACAAAAAAGGAACTGGCTAAATACTAAAAATAGAATGCCAGCTTTAGGATCTGTCCTAACTTATAGTCCCTTCATAAATATTCCCCTCTTGTGATGGAATAGGCTTTTCCAGTTTAAAAATAAGTGCAAACTATTATCATGCATTAAAATAAATATAACTGGAACAAATACTATTTATGAAAGACACATTTGAAAGAAATAAAATATTACATAAAGCTTTACAGTTTAAGAGTAATATAATTAATTGCTATTAACATGTTTTCCGAATCAGTTTAGCATTTAACAAGAGACAAAATATAATGATCTCCAGTAGCACAGTTTAAGAAGGAAAAAAAAGAGAGAGAGAAAGAATCCTGTTATGCCCCATAAAACATCCTTAATCTTTCCTTTCTGAAAACCTCTACTACAGAAAAATTTAAGAAAATGCAACAGAAAAAATATTCAAATCAATTTCTAACAGATTATTGTAAGAATACTGGAATAGATAAGCAAACTATCCCAAATAACATGAGCACAAGGATTATTCTCATTGACTAATCAAGTAAGTAACTGAAAGTAACAAATGAATAAACTAAATGTACTTGTCCTGTAGGTACACTGAGCAGGTACAAGTGCACAAGGAATTTTTCCACTGTTGACTATTAATACTAAGCAAGATTTGGTAAGTAGAGAGTGAACACAACTATTTTTTTACCCTATGTTTCTGTCTTTCATAAGTGCTAATATAAGAGATGGCAGTGAGAGATTTCACTTTTATAAGATCTGGTGTTAAGAATAATCACTGAAAAAATTAGATTCTGCCTTAGACAGAGCAGGGTTCTAGAAAACACAGTGCTACAATTTTCAACAGAAAGATATTAGATACAGTATTTTGTATCTCAATAGATTCTTTTATGTGTGTTTTAGCTGTGATATGCAGTTTTATATTCTAATGTGGACAAGAGAATTTAGTTTTATAGGATATTGACTGTCTTGGTCTCTTTTGCCTTGCTAACAGAAATCCCTGAGACTGTGTGATTCTATAGAAAGGAAAATGGTAGTTGATTTACAAACTCATGATTCTGGTGACTTGAAAGTCCAAAGACGAAGGCTTACAGCATGGTTGACAAAAGCACAGAGAATGGCAGGTACATACTGAGAGAGAAAGGGGTCCTGACAATCTCTCTCTTTTAAGAACCAGCTCTCTCAAGAACTCACTCTTTTTCCCTAGAGCTAGAACTAACTGGGTCTCATGAGACAACATTAAGTTAGCTGTTTATGAGACTATTGCCTCAATGATGCAATCACTATGAACCAAACACCTAGCACTAGGTGTGACACCATGAGGGAATTTAAGTTTTTACTTATCGCCTTTACAATACAGTCAGTACAATCAACCCAACACATGAATTTCAGGGGGACATATTTATACCTCTGCAGTGACTCTGGCTATTTATTTAATTGTTTGTCACAACCCAGTAGTAATTATCATCAGAGTTTAACAATTTATATATTAGAAATTTAAATAAGTGTCGGGGGCTTTATTGTACCTACAAATTATTTACTAAAGTGGCTATCATACACAGTACAGAAATACAGAGGATGTATACAAAATGACCAAGACCAAAAGTGGGAACTACGTTGTGTAAAAATGTGTTAAGTTTATTTTTTTTTCTTTTATTTAAACAGCTTTAAAATGTAACTGACTGTTGGAGGAAACTAATATTAATGTGAATATATAATGTAAGGGCAAGGAAACTATATGATAACAGTGGCACAAAGGCCAAGAGGAAAGAAGTATAAGTATGTTTTGGGGTTTTGAGAGATTTTTGCTACAGGGAGCACGGGGTTACCAGAGAGAGACAGTGACAGAAAGTGACAAATCACTCCCCGGGGGTGGGGGTGGGGGTGGGGGTGGTCACACAGCAATCCCTTCTCCTCTATTCTCCTCTTGGAATTTTGGGCAGGCATGTACCTGCATTGGCATGAGTTTCAAGCTGCTGGGTCCAGGACTTGAAATCAGTTGACCATGTGGGGACCCAGTGCCTTAACCATTATGCCACCTGCTGGCCACATAAATATGTTTTAAGAGTCACAGATTTTAGTGAGAGTCATAAATATGTTATTATAATGTTCACATGCTATTCGAGAAGTGTAATATCTTTTGGAAGCAGGCCATGTCAGTTTATAATACATAGTAAGAAACTCAAAACAATACCTAAAAATAGTATTTACAGCTAAGACATCAACAATGAGAAGAATACAGAAGACAGTTAAGCAGGAAAATAAGAATAACAAATAACAGAACAAATAGAAAACAGTATTAATGGACACAGGAACTAATTAAAAGGCAGGGTATGTCAGATTGGATAAAAATAGCAAGACCTGCCTATATGCTGCCAGCTAGACACATTTCTGAGTGCAAAGACACAGGTCAATAGCAAAGGAGTGGACAATAGATATGCTCTGTTAACCCTAGTCTTGTGAGAATTGACATGACTATAGAGCATATAATAGAGGATAAAATCACTGCCCAGGATGCGAGTTCAACCGATTTATTTATTCATTTATTCCTGTACTGGGAGTACAGACTTTGGAACCAGACTTTCCAAATTAGAAGCCTGACTCTGTCATTTCCTTGGATTATTTAACTCAATTTGACAAAGCCACAGTTTCCCTGTCTACAAAATCATTATAGCATTTGAGCCATACTGAAGACTCAGTTGTATAAAAGCAAAACAAAACAAAACAAAAAAATCACTCCAACAGCAAGTAGGAGAGTTTCTGGCACATAGCAAACTTTAGCAAAGTGTTGCTTTTCATGTTATGTTCATTATCATCACTATTAATTTCTCACTCTAATAGAACTGATACGGCTCACTAATTAAGAGTTTGTGACAATGTGATGATGAAGGAGAAAGAATTGTATTGGGCAATCCCTGGGTATCCAGCTGGTAGAGATTGAAAATAAGGTAAAGTGGGGTTTAGGGGGAAAAGTGTTTTATGTTTGTTTTTTAAACTAAGCTTGGATACCTTAGTTTCAAGGTCCCTGTAAATAGCCAGTTTCAAAAAGAAAAGGGTGAGGTTTCTTCCGGGTCGTTGACAGAAGGATCAACTCTTTGGGTGTAGTTTCTGTCTATCCTGCATCTTTTCCCCTGAAAACCTCGTGAGGTGGTTGTGATTTCAGCGATGAGCACCCAGAAGGGCAACGTGGCTCGTTCCAGGCCTCAGAAGCACCAGAATACGTTTAGCTTCAAAAATGACAAGTTTGATAAAAGTGTTCATACCAAGAAAATTAATGCAAAACTTCATGATGGAGTATGTCAGCACTGTAAAGAAGTTCTTGAATGGCGTGTGAAATACAGCAAATACAAACCATTATCAAAACCAAAAAAATGCGTTAAATGCTTACAGAAGACAGTGAAGGACTCTTACCATATAATGTGTAGACCATGTGCCTGTGAACTTGAAGTTTGTGCAAAATGTGGAAAGAAAGAAGAAATTGTTATTCCGATTAACAAAGAACCAGAAAAGACAGAAAATAATCCCAACTGGAGAAGAAGTTGCAGAAGAAATGAAGAAAGTGATGATGATTTAGAGTTTGATATTGCTTTAGATGACACAGAAGATGACAGTCCAGTGGATTAATATAAATATATTAAAAGTCAGTTTGAGAACACGAAAAAAAAAAAAAAAGAAAAGGGTGACATTGTCACTTGAAAAAATTGTTTTATTGGGGGCCGGCAAATGGTGTGGTGGTTGAGGCACTGGACTCCACAGGGGTGACCTTGGTTTGAGCCCTGGACCTGGTGTCTTGAGTCTCATGCCAGGCACATGTGCGGGCTTGCCCATAAAGTCCCAAGAGGAGAAAGGAGGAAGGTGGATACTGGCCTAGCCACACCCCTGGAGGATGATTTCTAGCTTTCTCTCTCTCCCTCTCTTGCAAGTATACGTGCCCTATAGCCAAAAAAAGGAAAAAAATCACTAAAAAAAAAGGTTATTGCGTTATCATGATAGTCATAAAAATTACTATGAGGGGCCACCCGGTGCCATAGTGGTTGAGTGGTGGTACAGTGGTTGAGTGGAGTGAGGAAGGGAGTGGAGGGGAGGAGAGGAGAAAAGAAAAGGAAAAAGAGAAGAAAAGAGAAAAGGAAAAAGGCCAGCAGGTATCATGGTAGATAAGGTACTGGACTCCCACAAGACCGACTGCAGCTCAAGTCCTGGACATCATGGCTTAAAAATCACACTGGGCTCAGGACTGGCAGTTAGTGTAATGGCTATGTCGCTGAGCTCCCATGCAGCTGACCGCGGTTCGAGTCCTGGACCCGGTGGCTTAAACTCATGCTGAGCATGTGTGCCCAAGATCCCAAGAGGAGAATGAAGGAGAAGGGATTGTGGCATGGCCATCCCCTCTGGGGGGTGATTTCTCACTTTCTATCTCTCTGTCTCTGTCTGTCTTTCTGGCAAGCGCATGCGCCCTATAGCAAAAACCTCTCAAAAAGAAAAAGAAAAAAATAATAATAAAAACTAATTCCTATATCATTCCCACCTTTCCCTTTCTGCAGTGCCTGCTCTGCCTGCTATGGTTGTCTGAGGAGAAGAATGGTTTTGAAACAGAATTATTACATCAACCAGTTTTTGGGAGGATTCCAGGAAGTTTTTGAACATGACAGTGTTGAACTGAAGTGTAAAGTGAAATTTGCTAACTACTTACCATCAAAGACAGAAACTGGAAAGTGCCCTGCACTATATTAGATGTCTGGTTTAACTTACAGAGAACAAAATGTTATATTGAAATGTGGTTATCATCAAGCAGCCTCAGAACATGGCGTTATATCGTTGCTCTGGATACCAGCCCTGTGTTGTGATATTGAAGGAGAGGATGACAGCTGGGACTTCGGCACTAGTGCTGGGTTTTATGTGGATCCCACTGGAGATCTTTGGAAAATGAACTATAGAATGTATTCTTACGTAACAGAGGAACTTCCGGAACTTATAAATGTCCATTTTCCAGTGGACCCCCAAGGGAAATCTATTTTTAACCACTCCATGGGAGGCCATAGAGCTGTGATTTGTGCCTCAAAAGTCCTGGAAAATACAAATCTGTGTCAGCATTTGCTCCACTTTAGAGCCCAGTGCTCTGTCCTTGGGGCCAGCAAGCTTTTAGTGGATACCTGGGTACAGACCAAAGTAAACGGAAAGCTTATGATGTTACGCATCTTGTGAAGTCCTATCCAGGTTCTCAGCTAGACATATTAATTGATCAAGGAAAAGATGACCAGTTTCTTTCAGTTGGACTGTTAATTTCTGATAACTTCATAGCTGCCTGTACTTAAAAGAAAATCCCTGTTGCTTTTAGATAATGAGGTTATGATCATAGCCACTACTTCATTGCAACCTTTGTTACCAATCACATCAGCTATCATGCAAAATACTTGAATGCATAAAACTTCAGATAAGAGAATCTCTTCAATATTATACAAATTATACTATATAAAGAATTGCTGAGAAACAAATAGTAATATCCTTTAAAAAATAAAATTAAATTAACTGTTGAAAGTGAACAATTCAGTGGTATTTAGTATTGTCACAATGTTTTATGATCATTTATTCTCCGGAATTCATAAATATTTCCATTAGCTAGTAGAAAATCTCATACTCATGAAACAGTCCTCTCTGTTTTCCTCTCCCCTATTCCCTGCTAATAATCTATTTCTGTCTCTATAGCCAGGCCTTTAAATAAAGGTTGTGCAGTGCTTTCAATGGCAAATTGACAGAGCTTTTAGAACTGTTTATTTTGTTTTATTCACTATTTGCATTGTTCAATTATCAATGCTGCTTCTGGCATCCATCTAGCAAAAGTGTGTAAGACAGGAAATCACTTTTATTTCAGGAATTGTAGAGGCTTACTTATATTTATGTACTTATATAGTCAGGAATCTGTAGAGGGACCAGCAGTTAGCGTAATGGCTATGTCACTGGACTCCCACGTAGTTGACTGCGGTTCGAGTCCCGGACCCAGTGGCTTAAAACTCACACCGGACATATGTGTGTGTGTGTGTGTGTGTGTGTGCCCAAGATCCCGAGAGGAGAATGGAGAAGGGATTGCGGTGTGGCCATCCCTTCCTGGGGGGTGATTTCTTGTTTTCTGCCTCTCTGTCTGTCTCTGTCTGTCTGGCGAGTGCATGCGCCCTATAGCAAAAAGCTCACAAAAAAAAAAAAAAAAAAAAAAAAAAGGAAAAGAAAAGAAAAAGAATCTGTAGAAATGAGAATTTTCAGATAACACCATATAAGTAACCAGTCTACATTTTGGTTTACAGATTTATAGATTTCACAGAGAGGGAAGGGCACACTTATAACTGAAGGCTAAGCATCAGTTGCTAGGAGACAAAGACTCCTTGTGATGTCACAGCTACTCATGTTGAGTACCATAGTGATAGTTTAGATTAGTGTATCTATGCAAGCCTACTGAAGCAGCATTTGAGCTGCAGTGTTCAAAACCATGTAGAAGGGAAGAGTATCTGAAGGAAAATTTATTTGAAATGGCACATATTTCTTCAGAAATTCAGGACATTTCTTCTAAGGATGGATCAGCTGGTTCAGGAAACCCCATCAGACCTCCCGTGTGCGATCACACATTCACTGAGGACTCCGAATTAAGGTCTATGGTTGAAGAAAGCGCATTTCAGGTTTTGTCTGAAGGATCCTTGATAAAAAGACCCCGTTACACGTTTCGTGCCTCTGAACCAGAAGTAGATAATGATTTTCTTTCCCTGACCTTTCCCAGAAAACTCTGGAAAATAGTGGAAAGTGACCAATTTAAGTCTATTTGGTGGGATGAGAATGGAACTTCTATAGTGATTAATGAAGCACTCTTTGAAAAAGAAGTTTTGGAAAGAAAAGCCCCTTTCAGAATATTTGAAACTGATAGTATGAAAAGTTTAGTTCGGCAGCTTAACCTCTACGGATTTAGTAAAATGCGGCAGAACGTTCAACGATCTGCATCTCTAGCTGACTTTCTGGCAGAAGAAAGAGAAGTCTCTGTTTTAAGCAAGGTATTCAAAATTTCACTTATCACTTTTAAAGGGCATGCACATGATTTTAATTTCTGCATCAATAGATATTTGTTAGTATATATAGTGTAAGACAAGATTTTGATGACTATATAAAATATTACTTAACTTTTTTAATGGAGTTCACTTTGATCTTTGCACATCAACATTTTAAGAAATTTTGCAACCAACTTTGATTCTCATCAGCGAACTCCAAAATAAAGGTACTAAAGCTGCATGAAGTACAATTAACTTTACTGATAATTTATAGCAGACTTTCTGTTGGAGACACTATTTGAATGTTTGTTTGCAGAAAGTAATTTTATTTTTAAAAGTCTACAGTGAAACTTTCCATGCATTATATGGTGATATTAACTTTTGTGTAGTGAAAATGAAATGCGAGATTTTGATAGGTAATGTTTGTTATGGTCTAATCTCTGTTTGACATGGTACTAATTACCTTTCCCATTTGGTTACAGTTACAGTTTTATCAAAATGCAAATTTTAAACGAGGCTGTCCCCAACTTTTAGTAAGAATGAAAAGAAGAGTTGGGATTAAAAATGCATCAGTTCAAGATGTCAACAAGAAGCACTTTAGATCAGGGGGCAACATGGATAATCAAAATTCTGGTTTAGCTGGTGAAAACAGTGCAGAAAGTTTATTTGCAACCTCTGAAAATTTAAATATAGCACCAATAAGAAAGCCTCCAACCAGGCAGAGGATTGCTAATAAAATTGACACAATCAAAAGTGATTTTTATCCTCCATCATCAGCTTTAGTTGGACCAACAAAGCAAACTGTACCAGATCAACGCAGTATTTTAAATCAGTTGACCACTTTCCACATGCAGTCACATAGCAGCTACACACAAGCAAATGGCCGCATTGTGAATTTGGTTACGACTACAACCTCTATGTCTCAGTACCACATTGTATCTCCGCTACAGAACAGCTATTTTGGACTGATGGCAGAGCCTTCTCCTAGTCCAACCAGATATCCTCATTTGCCAGCTCACGAGGCTCCTTTTGCTAACCTGCTCTCAGCAGGA